TCTTATTTTGGCTATAACTTTTGAACGGAGAGTCGGATTTTGACAAATGATCCCTCATTCGACGGGTATTTTCAAGAGGAATACAACTAAAACATTGCGAGGGGGCATTTATCCCCACCGGCCCCAACAGCTCCAAATTTCGAAATTTTCAATTTTTCACTTTTACCGCTCTCTCTCCCAAGCCAATTGATCTTCTTAAAGTCTTGGTATGCAATCCTTTAAGTTTTTGCAATACCTTTCGATTGGTGTATTACTCATTACGATCGGACTATCACTGCCGATTTTCAATTTTGCGGCTATATAATAGTAGTCGCCTTCGCACACTCTCCTGGTGCGCTTCGTCACTACATGGACTGCCGTCCAAAGTGATTTTAAATGCTAAAATAAAAAGTATTTTTGTGCGATGCTTTAGATAGATGTTTTAATAAAAGATCAGAGATAAAAGTTAACATTAAGAATATAGTTATTATAAAGTAATAGAATATTTCTTGTATTTTTATTTTAACAAAATAGTAGTAGAAAATGTTAGCTTTACTTAAAGTACGTTTTTAAACAGTCTTAAGCGTCACTTATATATCTTTACAATGAAGAGTCTTCATGTATAAACATTGTTTACCAGAATGCTACGGTGTATTTCCTCCTCCGAATGTTCCAATATTTTTTTTGCATACGTGCGTGCTTGTGTGCTTAAAATGTCATTAAAGCACGGAAAGGGCGTGACTGTGAGGACCATTTCAGGACGAAATCAGAGCCGGGAAGACCAGGAGCAAGGCCCCGACCAAAAACCAAAAAACCAAAGACCAGAAGCCAATCGAGCTGGGTGAAGAAGCAAATATTTGGCGAATATTCCCCACTCGACAGCTCATAAAGACCATCGAGATGTCTTCGCTTGCGAGATAAAAGCCAAAAACATCCTTAATCAGCGCCTAGCGGTTTCCTTAGCACTTTCATTCCGTGGGTGGGCGTGGCGCCAGTGAAATTTATTGATAATTGATTATTGCTTCGTTAGGTCGCATTTAAGGCGGCGTTTTGTGGCTGCGCGCTTATCTCTCTCTTCCTTGTTTGTTGCTGCAAATTGAAAATGCAAATTGCCCAGATGATTGCTCCTCCGATTCCCGTTCCGTTTTTCCTCACACCGATTTTCCGCTTTCCTCACGACTGCAGTTTCTTGTTGTCTTGTCGTGTCTTTTGATGTTTCGCCGGCTTCCTTTGGCTCCTGCTTTGGGGAAAAACAAATTTTCATAAATTTTTAAAACAAACACACGAGTTGCCCGGAAAAAAGCTAAGAAAAAAATGCCAACTGAAAGGAAAGCGAAAAGCTGGGCTTCAAATGGAGTTGGGTTCGGTGGCTTTTTTACGCCATTTTGTGGCTACCCTGTAATCCCTGGGATGCTGTGTACCTTGGCCCTTAAAATGTTATTTCAATAAATAGGTGTTGTAATGAGCCCTAATTAATTTCATTTGAAAAAGAAAATAGATAAGCCTTTAAAAAAATATCTCGATGTGTTTAATTTAAATATTAATTTAATAAAACAACTATGGGCTTTTCATATTCTGCTACTGAATTTTTAAAGCTAAATCGTTCGTACGAAATGTTTTATATCACACAAATTTCTTATAATGAACTATATTATTTCAATCCATTAATGACCAACGTTCTTCTTCTCTCCCAAGCTGGAAATTCATCCCTTGATTATTGAGAGGGTATCCCATTATTCATCAATCTGCGCCACAATAAATACAATTTTTTGCAGCCTTTGTTGCTGCTTTTGTTGGTGTTGTTGTTAGGACGTGCCTATGTGCATTGCTTTTGCTCACCTTTTGAGCTTTTAAATTATTTTCCAAGCACGTAGCTTCTGTCGGCTGTTTGCGTATTTAAACATGGGCATCACGGGCGGGGAATGGGGGCTTTCGAGGGGGTTCGAAAGGGCAGGGGTAGGGTGAAAAACGCGTAGCGGCATTCGCTTTGCCGTTGCCTTTAAAAGGATTTGCGCAATTTGCGTTTTTCAGGGGTTCCGGGGGTTTCCTTTTTTCAGTGGGGGGTTCGGGGGTTTTCGGGGGTGTGATGGGTTCGGGTTGTTGACAAACAAACAGCGGCGTTGAGTGACGCCGAAGACAGGCGAAGTGAAGCGAAGGACCTAGGATATGCTGAACAGGACAAGCGGCAAGCTTTGTGTTTGACAATGTCCTTGCTGATGTCGCGTTTCGCCCCCACAGCCGCCCCCTCCTCGTACGTGACTTGCATTTTATTTTCCCCCAAAGCCCACCTACCCAACCACCCAACCAGCCGCCCATCCAACCCTCCGCCCACCGGAGAAACTCGTTAGTAATTTACGAAAGGGAAAAAGGAAATAGAGATCCAGCCACAGATAGAAATGCGGAAAAATGGGAGATTCAGCTGCATGTTTTCAAAGCAATCAAATGCTCGTCTATATTCATATGGGAATAGTTGCGCTCCGCGGCTAACTAAAAATATAGATCCTACAAAATTTTGTGAAGTGCCCGCAAGTCTGGACTCTTTTTCGTGTATTTTAACTGCAAATAATTCCATCATCAGTTCAACGGGCAGAGCCGAACAATTTTGGGAATTAAATAGAAACAGAAACCGGCAAGGGCAACGATTGATAGCCACTTGAAAAGCGGCCTGTGCACTGTCTCTACTTTCAGGTACACGGAAGAAAACCAACAATTTACTGGAGATTAAATATTAATATTTTATTTACATTTAAAAAATTTAAAAATTTGGAATAAAAATTGTTAATTAAAAAATTAATAATATGAAATAAATTACTTTTGATTTTACTCTTAATTTCAAGACCCGTAATTGAAAACTTATAAATAAAACAATGAAAATAGGGTTTTAAAAACAAGAAAGCTATCCAGCATTTTTATTTAATGTTTAAAGTTTTTAGAATCAAATTCCTAAAGCTTCACAAAATAATGAACATTATCCTGTTTTCTTAATTTAAGCCTTAATTATTAATTATATTAATTTATTTTTCTGTGTATCTACTGACATTGCCCAGTGCACTGAGAGCCGAATTCATTTGGGTGGGCTTTTGGCACAGTGGGACACAATGAGAAGTACTCTAGCACAGAAACTACTCAGGCAATTGGGGATGGGAGCCCAGCGTGTGCAGTAGAAAACATTTGTGGGTTTCGGGTGGTTTTTGGGGGCTTATTCAATCCTTAATGGTCTCAGTCGCAGCGTCGAAAGAGTTATTGAAAATGTTTTATTGTGTGCATTTGATTGCTGTAAGTGTTGAGGTCCCTCCATGTGCACGGCCTGGTGTCTAACTTATAAATATTTCAATAACATTTGGAGTGCGCCTGCCTTGCAGACTGCCTGCTGGCCCAATCGAAAACGAAAAGCCCCCCATCCTCCCCCGAAATGTAAATGCACTTTCCATTGTGTGCGGGTGTCTAGTGCTTTTGGCACTCCAGATTCAGATCGCAGCAAACGTGGCACTTGCCATATTTGGATTACCAATCCAAAAATCAAAAAATACCCATTGCAGTGGGACAGCAGCAGAGGTTTATGGGATTAGATCATGCACAGTCGATTCCACAATTTAAATGGGATTTTAATCTAATGCTCTTTAAAAAATAAGACATATTTTATGTATTTTTCAAAACGGCCTTTTTTATATGGGCTTTGATTAAATTTTATTTAAAGCTTGTTTTGTAAAAACCAGAAGTAATGTTATTTCATAATTTTGGGTTTATTTGAGAGATTATTATAAAGATCAGTTTTACTTCTAAATATAAATATTACTAAATTGAAACAGATTAAAATCCTTTGAAAAAAAATAAAAATAAATTTATTTTTAAAAGTTTTAAATTCATGTAAATCGTTAGAGAAACATCTTAAACTGCTCCACCGCATAAACGCTCCTTCTGACCATATTTGTACGGGCATTCGGTTTGTGTTAGCCAGCATTTGTTGGTTCACTAGATGAATTCTATGGCACGTTCGATATGGTTCAATATGCACACACATAGACGGCAAACACTTTCAATTGCCGGAGTGTGTGTGCTCGAGCTTTAAAAACTTTCCACAGTCGGCCCAAAAGAGTTTCGAACCATCGACTGATGCAATCGTGGCTCATTTTCCTACCGGCACGAAAACAGACGTCGAAGCCTTTCGGCCTGGCCTAGAAAAGTTTAACTCAATTACGGGCCCAGTCGCCACACGTGACTAACTGGGATTCTGTATCAGATGAGGTAAGGTTAGCTGAGGTTATCCGAGATTGGTCGGAATGGAGTGGAGTGAGCCCAAAAGCTGGCCAAGCATTAAGCAGGTCGACCAGGCCACCTACAAATCCCTTTTTCAAAACTCATTAGCACAAATTTGTGCCTTTCAATACGAGTAAGGAGGCAAAGCTGCGACGAGAAGGGAGGTTGCCGGGGTCTTTAGATTTCTGTGGGAGTCTGCCAGGCTAATTTGGGCTAGCTGACAAAATTTATGCTGATTGTGGGGCAATTTACGAAAATTCCTCGAGACTACAGTTGGAAAATTGGCCGCTTGCCTGCGAGCCATGAATTGGGAAACCTTTGGCCCAAAATACAAAATGTTCTCTTTCTGTTTTCCATAACAAGTACAGGGCACTCAGCCTTGAAACAATGGAAATAAAAGAAAATAAACTTTGTGCCTTTTCTTTTCCAATTTTAGTTACCCTTTTCAGGATGGGTTGGCTAGGTTAGGTTGGGTCAGGGCTTTTAAAGATGTTACCTACTAGGAGAAAAATGTGTCTTCATTTTTACAAAAATAGTGATTAAACAACATTTTTTTTCAAAGGGATAAGATTATTAATAATTTAGTAAATTAATATTAAGGAAATGATATTTTAAAATTCTTATTTTTTTGTTCTTTTTTTATATCTATTTTAAAATGGGTTTTTAAGCAGTTGACGTTTAAGAATAACTGACCTTATTAACTTATTAACTTATAACCTTATTAACTTTCCTAAATTTTTAAAATATTTAATTTTCTTTTTCAGATCCAGCTTGACTTTTGTCTAATTTATTGAGTGCAGCCGCCAAATAAGGTAAGCAAAAAAGAGTTTAACCTTTTTTTAGTGCCCGACTCTGTATATGCAAAGTAGAGTTAAATGATTCAGAGGTTGATTCAGAGGAGAGAGTTGGCTGAAGAGGTCTTAGTCGACTCCTTGTGCATATATAAATTGTATAAGAGCCCGAGTTCTTTCGGTCGTCGCTTGGTTTCCGTTTCCGCTTTTGGCTTTCGCTTTTTCATTTCCGCCTAATAAACTACATAATTAAACTGGCAGGCAATGGGATTAAAGGATTCAGCGGCAGAAAGCCCCCAAGGAGTCCAACTCACACACATTCACTTGAGCATCCGAGTGGGTTTCTGGCCTCAACCAAAGTTTCGTGGACGAATTAAGCTAAATTAATTTTTGTTCTTTGCCCCTGTTGTTGCCAATGCTACTTAAGTCCTTTGACTTTTGCCTCGTTTGATGATGAAGCTCTGCCCGTTAGTCCTTTCTTCTAATATATGTGTTTGTCTCGTAGCATCGCCTTAAATTAATGATGTGTTTTATGCTGTTGTTGGCCATGCCGAAAAAAAGTAAAGAAAAAGTAGGGAAAAAATCACAGCAAATGCGATTTAGACGCCGAAAGCGCAGCATTAGCAGTAAATAAAATAGGATAATGCGGCAAGTCGACCGCATGCCAAAAGCCAACTTCTGGAGTCAAAATTAAGGGCAGCCAAAAAGGAGGGTATAGATAATTTAGAAAGGAAGTGCCAAATAGAAAATGAGATACTGTAGTAAAGTGCAATTTTTAAACTGTCATAGTTATATGAGTGATTCTTTGTGAAACGTATCGAGATTTTCTTCATGGTCTCAAAACGATATCTAATTTTTATGATACTATCACACCATTTAAAAAGGATTTTTAAAAAAGTTAAAAAAAAAATTCATTTGACAGAAGCGAAGATATGGCGATGCTATTTTTTTGTTTAATTCATTTATAATTTTAAATTACGTGGGGTAAAAAATAAATAAAAATACTCAAAAATTATTATTTTTGCCAAGCTTTCAGATGAAAATAACAGCCATAATGGTTCCAATGCAAAATACAGTCCAAACTTAAAAAAAAATGTTTCATTCGCGGTTTTCTGCAAATCGGCATTTTTAATCTTTATAAAAAAATAGTATAATGTTCTATACATAATTCTTGTTGGCTCCTAAAAGTTTCGTCATGGGACCTCCATTACTTTCTGCATAATTTAATAAAACATTAAAAAACAAAGCAGTCTTTCGTTGTTATACATTAAATTATGTTAGACGAATTCATGAATTCCGGGAGAACGACCGTTCCCATTTAGGTAAAATCAATAGGAAAAATGCAGTTTTGTATAACAAATAAATCCCTACCAATTTCAACGTGGGACAATAACTTCTTGCTAATTATTTAGTTCTAAAGAAGAACACTCGAATATATAGCAACACATTACATCCAAGCTAAGACCATTCCAGGCTCCTGGTAAATAACGCACCTCGTTCGGTTCGTGTCGCTCCTTGATTCCCCCTGTGGCGGCGCTCCTCTTTTGTTTTAAGCCTCCTTACAATGATTTGTGTATTGGGAAAATTTAAATGTCTTCAGCGAATGAGTATCTTTTTAAAAGAGGTGTTGGAGCAATATGATGGTACTTTTGAGAACGCGGAATGGTCTTAGCTTGGATGTAAGGTGTTGCTAACGTGTTGTTCTTCCTTAGAACTACATAAGTAGCAAGAAGTTATTGTTCCACCTTGAAATTGGTAGGGATTTATTTGTTGCATTTTTCCTATTAGTTTTACCTAAATGGGAACGGTCGTTCTCCCGGAATTCAAGAAGAACGAAAACTTTTCGTCTAATAAAATTTAATGTATAACAACGAAAGACTGCTTTGTTTTTTAATGTTTTATTAAATTATGCAGAATATAATGGAGGTCCCATGACGAAACTTTTAGGAGCCAACAAGAATTATGTATAGAACATTATGCTATTTTTTTATAAAGATTAAAAATGCCGATTTGCAGAAAACCGCGAATGAAATATTTTTTTTCAAGTTTGGACTGTATTTTGCATTGGAACCATTATGGCTGTTATTTTCATCTGAAAGCTTGGCAAAAATAATAATTTTTGAGTATTTTTATTTATTTTTTACCCCACGTAATTTAAAATTAAAAATGAATTAAACAAAAAAATAGCATCGCCATATCTTCGCTTCTGTCAAATGAATTTTTTTTTTAACTTTTTTAAAAATCCTTTTTAAATGGTGTGATAGTATCATAAAAATTAGATATCGTTTTGAGACCATGAAGAAAATCTCGATACGTTTCACAAAGAATCACTCATATGTATATATTAAAGAATTTTTATTAATGTAGAATTTTTAATTTATTTTTGAAATTTTTATTAGACTAGTAATAACAAAAAAAAACATTTTTTTTCATATTAAGTAAAAAATGTATGATTTTGTTAACCACTTTTTGTTTTTTTCTTTGTTTTTATTACTGGAAAATTTATGCAAAAATATAAATGTAAAAATATTTACAAATTTTAGCTTGATCTGAATTAATCTCGTAATTAAGCTTAGTTTAGAAAGCGCAATGAAATCCTTTTCAGATTGAATTAACCCAGTTGAAAAGATTTATAGCCCCAAAGAGTATCGCAAACAGGACAGATGCTGCAATGCAGGAAGCTAGAGGATACGGAACTCTTAGCCATGACAGGCTAAAGGATTATGTGTCTTTAGAAAACCCTCTCTTTTTTCGTTTTCAGCTATCTGTCTCATGTAAGCCAGCCATTTTTCATAGCTAGGAGGGACACAGGAAGCAGGAGCGTTACACCTGGCCTTCAGAGTAAACCACAAGACCGTAGGAACTCTTTACCGACCGAATGACTTAATACAATCTGACTGCTGGCATCGATAAAGACAAACAGAATCGGGTGTGTAAACAATATTTCGGGGTACAAATCGCTCTCGCAAGCCGGAATCAGAAATCTGTTTAGCTCAGAATGTGGATTGCTCCGAGGTCTTACACAAATATTTTGACAAAACGCCTGCTGTTTTCCACATAAATATTTATATTTGCCCTGCCTGCACCACACACATACACTCATTCTCAGGCCAACAGAACCCGAAGGATCCAGAGTATCTTATCGTGGCATCTCTACCTGCCGCAGACTTCGAACATGGACCAGCATCATTGTATCTGTATCTCAGTATCTGTATCTCTTGGCATCACACGGGCGCATTAATCTGTCGTGCGTATACAAATTCTGGGCCCCTTGCCTGGTCCTCGGAAATCGAAGCCACAATCCACAAAAATGCAGTTAAATAAATTACAAACGCTCTGTCACCCAGCGGTCGAGGAGTTTTTTGGAGTCGCATGTCGCGGGTTTATCGTTCGCCGGGCATCGCTTTGGCTTTTCTTATTCGAATTTTTCTCTTTAATGAATTTCTCGGCTCTTGTTCTCTCCTTTTCCCACTTCTCCTTTTATCCTGGCCCCCGATCTGCGTGCTAATGAAATAAATGCCCGGACAGCAGAGTCGTTCTCGAATAAGTTCTCAAGTTACCCGCTGCATTGGAACACGAACATGAGCAATCTGTGACATTGCCCACATATGGTAAACGTTCGCGGCTGATAAAAAAAAAATACAAACTAAGGGGATACGAAAATACGATACTGAACAAAATGCATATAGGAATTATGAGACAGTCATGGCACATAAATTCCTCAATGTGTGTGGGATCCAACACACAACCGCTGGGGAGTGTTTCTTTCGAGCTTGAAAAGGAGTGATCTTAAAGAAATCTGATTGGGGTTTTCGGCTTGTTGAACAAGTTTATTAGATGATTTATTTTCGGGAATATTTGTTTGTCTTGATTGTAATTTCATTATTTGTTTGAAATTTAAATCGCGCCGCCAATTAATAAGTTTTATGATTAATGGCTTAAGGATTGTTTTGTGTATACAAATTTAATTTTATTGAATTGCGCCTTAAATGTCTTACATTTTCTCTGTGATGGTATCTTATAAGCTTGAGAAAAGTCTTGTGGAAGTCATTAGGGCTTATGATGGTTGGTTGGACAAGCTTATTAGATTGATTTATTTTGGATACAAATTTAATTGTGCGGTGAATCAAACCGATATTTAATTAAATATATGAAATAAATATTATTTTGATCCTTTTGATTTTTAGGAAATATTTAATAAGAAAAAGAACAGCATTTTCTGCCTCCTTAAATTTAAGTTTATTTCCTGTGGCTCTATACAATTCCAATAAAACCACATATCCTCCAAAAAAGTAATCACACTTCGTACACCAACCAATTGACATTGGCAATAAATATTCCTCAACTGTTCGACTAACTCATTGCAGTTGCCTGCTTAATTATTAATTTCGCATTTACCGCAAAATGTTTATTGGACTTCGTGTCCCGTTCCTGGTATCCACTTAGACCCCAACCACCCAGCTCTCCACCAATCCAAATCCAGAGAAGCCGCAAGCCGAAAGCAATCTTCCTCAGTCGTCGAACTTATTTCCTCAATTGCATAAATCGAACAGAAATTTGTGTTTTGGCGCGTGTCACGAATGAGCAAAACAAGTTAAAAGACCCGAAAAAATACGAAAACCAAAGCGACAAACTCCTGCTCTCTAATTTTCCCTGGGCTTTCGAGACAATGTGACAAGGTCTATCCCACTGCCGCCCCCAAATATCAGTCTATAGTCTGTTTGTCACCCAAGTCATTTACATGCTCCGCCCGGCTACGTGACTTACATATATAATTAGTCACTCCGGCCCCTCTGAGATATTTCTGTGGGGATTTCTGTGGTTGCCATCGACTTGACTTGACATGGCTTGGGCCACATTTGATCAAAATGCGACCGTCCGCCGGGAGACAGAAACCCAGACTGGGACTCAAGTGAGTCACGAACGCCCATCGATAAAATATTTAAAATTCATTTCTAACATTTTAGCCGGCTCTACTCATCACCACATCGATTACTCATGCCACCGAAGTTTGAACTGTA